TTTTGGAAACTGTTGATCATCTACACGATCTAATATGACTATTTCATTGTACTTATTTAGCCTGGATTTGAAAGCTTCTTGGTTTGGATATTTCAGTCCTATTCTGAAGTGGGGGACAAAAAGGGAAAAGAAAAAAGAAAAACAAAACAAAACAAAACAAAACTTTCTAAGCTCATCGACCTTTTCCCAATGCTTTCTTAAACCTTCAATCTACGAAAAGAACTCTGCAGTTCCTCCTGTCTATAACACAGNCTTTGATTTTGTGAAATATTTGACTCCCAAGAAATAGAAAGAAACAATTATCATTCCAGAATAACTTATTTTCCTTTTAAATGGCACTGAAGACGGTTTGCAGTGAATACTGTTCAACACTGAAAACTGATACCAAGTCACAAATTAAAAAATTTTTTCTGCTTAGACCGAATCATGCCTGACAAGAGTTACAAATGGGTAAACGGGGTACCTTCTGAGGCACGGCCTGAAAACAGTGCACCAAATCACATGCAGCAGGCCACAGAGGGCGACACACCTGCTGACTCTTGCTAAGGTGTTGCCAGATTGGATCTACAGAAGGATGAGGTGCTTTTCCCATTGGGCTCATTTGCAAGTCTCTGGACCCGTTTTCTACCGCAGCAGTCAGAACGCCCAAGAGAGTAGGGCTGGAACCCAGGGTGCCCAGGAGAGTAGGGCTGGAACCCAGGGAGTGCCTGTGGTCGCCATCTGTTGTGTGGCACAAGACTAATCTTGCCTGATGTAGGCGGATGAGTGGACAAAGGAACAGTGGCCTCAATCTGCGAGCACAAAGGGCATAGCGTTTCCGAAACCGGGTGTGTTCTTCCTTCCAACTCACGCCGCCAACTGCGTTTTCCTGTCTATTCACAAAGTGCAGAACCTCAGNCCCATTGGGCTCATTTGCAAGTCTCTGGACCCGTTTTCTACCGCAGCAGTCAGAACGCCCAAGAGAGTAGGGCTGGAACCCAGGGAGTGCCTGTGGTCGCCATCTGTAGTGTGGCACAAGACTAATCTTGCCTGATGTAGGCGAATGAGTGGACAAAGGAACAGTGGCCTCAATCTGCGAGCACAAAGGGCGTAGCGTTTCCGAAACCGGGTGTGTTCCTCCTTCCAACTCACGCCGCCAACTGCGTTTTCCTGTCTATTCACAAAGTGCAGAACCTCAGCAGTTAACCTCGCAGGAAATGAGTGTCCTTTCGGTTTCCGTTCTCCTCATCCCGAATCATAAGAGTACGGCTGTCACAGTCAGCTTGATTTTCAGCTTCTAAAAAGAACTGTCGCTTTCCCGAGGGGGCAAACGCAGGAGGCAAGAGCGAGAGGCCACTCAGAACTTGACCGCCGGTCGCAGCGCCCGCGCCGGGTAAGTTCGCTCCTGGACTTGGTCTCCATGCACGTTTGCGCTGCCTAACAACAACAACAGCAGCAGCAGCAGAGTCCCAACCGCAGACTGCACAGTAGTGGGTGCAGA